AGAACGGGTCGCCCGTTTGGTTCAAATGGTTAGACCGTTCAACCTGGGAACTAGACCCCTGACTGGTTCGTTGTCCGATTCGGTTTTAAAAACCTTGAATGATCCTTGGATTTAGCCACTCCATGAAGACCGAAGGATAATTGACAAATGTAATATAAAGTCCATCAAATAATTAGCCCTATAATGGTCTCTTACACCTAACATCTTGGCCCATAATCATCAAAGCACTATCCATAGGGAAGGATCTCTTCCCTGACTACAAAATGTAGTGTGACACTCTTTCCTCGGATGGATCTCAAGATTAAAACCTTTTGAAAATCTTTTAAAATAGTAATATAACATATAAATTTATTTTGCAAATCAGATTTCAAATAAAGTTGAAATTCACTATCAATAGTTTATGTTTCCATTAGAGAGACTACAAAGCCCGATTTTCACTTTCTCTAACAAAATTGTCGATTCTATCACTATGATCATCCACTCAAGTAATTTCCCAAACTTTCCCAGCATGCCTAGGTTTTTGACCCTTGATGGGGCATATCAAAGATAGTTCAGTCCAATACCTATTGCAGTATCATAATCAAGTTTAAGGTCAAGTAAAACTTTCCAGTTTTATGCATCTATTACTAAGGTCCAGGTCATAACTAAAAATTGGTCCGGGTTTAGTGTTTTTTCTAAATGCCCATTATCTATGCTTGGGGTCTAAGCTTAGCAATTGAGACAAGTTGCTCTACGAATTCGGCAACATACTAGTGTCAGCTTTGTCAGGGTAAAGTCTCTAAGTCTATCTAATGGGTAAGAACATTCTAAACCAACACGAGTCTCATAAGTGTACAGTTTAAGGAGTAATTAATAAAAACATACCAATTTAATATAAAACAATAACATACATTATTTATTTACTAATAAATGTTTGTGTACATCAATCTGATTGGAGCTAAGAACATACACTGTCTAACAGACTAAGCCTTCATTTACTTAAAATGGATTTTCGATGTTTTGTTTCAGATCCATCTCTATTTATACTTTTACATTGTTTGTCACAGTGTTCATGTTGATCCATGTTGATGATGTTTTGATCACTAATTCATCACCATTAAATGTTAATTCAATTATTGAGAGTCTTGGTCACACACCTTTAATTTCCTTGAAGGACATGAGTTAAACTCACTATTTTCTGGGCATGGAGCTTAACAAGACCAATTTAGGCCTGCTACCATCCCATCCAACAACGCTATACAATTGATCACCTCTACCACTCTTGGAAATGCTAAGCCTCTATCTTCCTCCATGGGARCATCTAAACTTTTTAAGTTTAGTGGGGATCCACTCACCGATCCATCAGAATATTGGTAGGAATGTTACAATATATTTTCACTTACAAGCCCCAATGCCTTATTCTCATGTGTTTGTCAATTCTTGCATGGACCCCCTACTAAACATTAGCAKGTTGTGAAGCGCATCTTGCACTACTTGAAATCTAGCTTAGATTATGGGTTGTTCTTCTCTCCTTGACCAGAATCATGCACTCTATAAGCATTATTGGACGGTGATTAGGCAAGTTACTTGGATGATAGGTGATCTACAAGTGGGTATGTCATTTCTTTGGGTCATCATCTTATTGCATAGATTTCAAAGAAGCAACCAACAATGGCTCGACCCAACACCGAAATTTTGTTCCGGGCTTGTGCCAATGTGGCTGTTGAATTGTTATGGTTACATTCACATTTACAAGATTTAGGGGTTACTACGAAATAATCCTCATGATTTGGTGCTACAGTTTCAATGCAACACATTTCTATCATATATATATTATTTATATCTACATATTATACAAAATATATATTACATATTAAAAATCAAAATTTTTTGGTTAACTAAATTTAATAAACCAAATTAACCAAATTGTAAAATCTAAAACCAATATAACTGAACCGAACAAACCGAAACCAACTTTTTTGTTTAAGTTTTCAGTTATCATAAAATTCTCACCTACTAAAATATGGGATGACTATGAGATAAAAATACATGTACATAATTTTCTCTATATTATGCGTATGTATATACATAGAATTTTTATTTTTATTAAATTTAAAATTTTTCACTTATCTTATAGCTTAACTACAYATATATAAACTCTTATTGGCCATCATCAAAGTAAATGGTGGGTGAATTAACTACATATAATGGCTATACAAAATAATTAGTTCACTAATTTAGGTGTTAAAAATTATAATAAACATGAAGAAAAAAAGAATCAATAACATATGATAAAAAATAGGAGAATATATTAAATTATTATTACTTTTAAAAGCTACTACAAAACATTTTAAAGATCTAAAATAGTATTTAAACTAATATAAATTACTAGAGATAATCCATTGTTAGTAAATATGTTATATATATATATATATATATATATATATATATATATATATATATATAATTTTTACATTTGCATATGGGAGAATCATGAGATATTTTTATATCTCACTTTTCTTTTAGAAATAGTGAACTAAAAGCATGTCTTTAAGCATTTGGCATTAAACATAGATTATTTCATTTTATTGTTTATCTATAATAGCTAATTTTTCTTACTAGATAAAACACAAAATTTATATGAGAAAAGAAATGTAAAATTGTTTATTTGTAAAGAAATTTATCAAATCATTTACAATAATTATGAATAAAAAGCTTATAAATTATTTTAGAGAAGATTACTAATTACTTAAACTAATTAAATGGTAATATCATTTTACATATTAAATTATTGGAAGAGACAAATATAAAATTACTTATCTAAAAAATAATCGAAATATTCATAATAATTAAGGATTATTATTATCGTACTTGTTTTTTTTTACTAGTATAAATAATACTAAGAGGGGATTGCTAGATCTGATTGCTCTCTCATTCTTTTCTCTATTTTTTCTCTTCTTCTCTCTTATCACAAAATCTCTTCCTTTCTTCATCTTTTTCTATAGTATTTTATTCCTGCAAATTTCTACTTTGCATCAAAGTAGGGTTTTGAGCCTTTTTTTGTGCTCACATCATGCAGCCATAGATTAGCCAACTACATGATGAGTTGGAGGACTGATCAAAGACCTAAAAAATGTCTAATTTTTGGATATTTTGGTGGAYTTAGAACCCCCTTTGGCAGATTTATGGTTGACCACCAAATTTAAGAAGAACTGGAGAAGGTGGAAGAATCCTGATTGTAGTAGGACTCTTCAATTTTTACCTAGGAAGGTGTGATATGGATTTCTTAGATTTCTTAGTGGCACATCGACTTCCAAGTATGCTCTTACTTTATCTTATCTTTGCTGTAAGTGCATATTGATAGAAAGAAGAAGATGAGTTAAGGATTTCAATGTACATAGCTTGCATTTGTGAGTGCATCACTTCGTTTATGCCCTATATTATGATGCGTTTTTCGGTCCATATAACATGATGCGGGCCTCTGTATCCAATTTATCTGGGGTCCATAAGTTCTTGGCCTTTGTTGTTAGGCTCGATAGGCTATGGTATGCCCAAATAAGGTCCTAAGTGGGTCGGGTCGGGTTTCGTTGGGAATTTGTTTGTTTTTCAATGTACTCAAACCCTAACTCGCTCCCAGTGTAATTGAAATTCTTCATTGCAGCCCTAAATGCCCAATATTTTTCATCTAGTCATACATTAACACTCAAAATCTAGATCACAATGGTTTTGACATTCTTTTTCTGTTTTTTGAGGTTTTAGATATTCTTCATATAATTGTATATCACATGCACGAATTAGGGACCATTTGATCACACTGAAGTAACTGAACTGAATGACTTATTATTTTTCCTTTTAGTGGATAAAAATAAAACAACTAAAGAACATAATATTCAAGGGTACCAAAATCAATCCAACTTCAGCCTCAGCAATTAAAGATTTCACTAAAGGCTCCTTAATGACTTATTCACTAATTGACAAAACAATAAGCAATTTTAAGTTCAGCCACATCAGCTCTTGTCAAATGGCTCCTTAGAGTTTATATTGAATAACAGCTGAAGTTATTGAATTGAATGACTTATTGCTATTAGTGGATAAAATAATTATACAACAAAATGTTTAAGGTTATGTTTGGTTTGAATGAAAAGGCAAGAAAACCTATACAAGATTTGTAAAAGTTTCCTTGTCTTTCCCTTCCTTTCCCTACCTTTCCTTCAAGCCAAACACTGCCTAAAGATATAGTTACCTACCCAATTTCACCTTCAGCCATTAAGGAGCTTCCAACCCCTTAAAAATCTTATTCGAGCAACAAACTTTTCAGTTCAGCCACTTCAGTTATCAAATGACCCCTAAGTCCATTCTATTGGTATTTTACAATTGAACAAAAAATTTACTTTTAATGGGCCAATCTATGCCCAAAATTGGGTAGTTGCGGGGTTATGAGGGCCATTTGTTAATGGGCCCAAATTGCTCTTTTAGCATGAGGAGACCCATGTGAACCATTCCCAAAGGCCAAAGACCTCACAGTAGTCAAGCCAACGCTGTCGTATCAAATCCATCCTCGCTGTGTTATTATCTGGCACGGTCCGCACGGTGGACCTTGTATGCACCCTGCTCAGTCCCCACCCTAGTTCCCTTTAATGAGTACTATATAATACCAAAAACAAGGTTAAATTAAAATTGATTAAAATATTAATTTTCAGTAATAAAATGAACTTGATGTTATATATCATGAATAAAATCAGTCAAAACTAATTTCTCTGAGACTTGATTAATAAAATTAATACAACATTTAAACCAACTTTACTAACAAATATGTATAACCTTACAAAAATATATACATATATTGAAATATTATTAGCTTCCAGGTTGAATCCATTTGGATTGGGATGGATTCATATTTGATTCAATTATAATCTGATCCAATTTGGATTAATTGCCTGAACCGGATCAGGTTTCAAAAATTGAATTTTGACAAATGATACCATTTTACATTTCTAATGGAACTCTAGTAAGTTAGCTTCTTAAGCTTCGAATTTCTCATTCATGGAGACAAGTTTTAAGCCTTCCTCCTCTGTGTTCAGGGTTGGGGCAGCCTGAGCCCTCATCAGTAGGTCAGATGGTATCAAAATATCTGATTGGTCAGCTTTAGGAACAAGAAAAATGAAGCTCAATGTTGCAAATCTCAGCATATTCCTGATGAAGAGTACCAACCAAAGATTTGTGAAATCTGTTCTGGTTACATGAAACATTTGAAGAATCATGCCTCCACCCCACTTGGAGGAGAGCGAACCGAGGCTGTCGATGCACATCAGTAGGGCGAAGAAGGTTCCTTCGATGCCTAGAGGGCAAAGCTTGGTACTTAGCACAATCATGGGCATCCATCTTATTCTGCTTACAATTCTAGACACACACTCTTCCAAGACTACAAAGAAGTAGTCAGGGATCCCAAGTTTTAAGTTCCACCTGAGAATAAAGATGACATCGAGCATGCCGGTGGCTGCATAGAGGAGTTGGGCATAGAAGATTAGGGTCCTGAAAGGGTAATCCTTCAGAATCTTGTGGTAGATTAGGACACCTACAATGGAAGCCATTGCACCAATAGCATATATCATCCCAACAAACTCCTGCATTGTTTTTGGCAAAGTGAAGTAAGAATATCTCCATTATCTGAATATGGAAATGTGAATTTGTGTTAGAGAGAGACCTGAGAGAATGCTGGGCCAGCTTTTGGGTTGGTGTACCAGTAGAACTGGCCTTCATGAGTGCTTATGCTAAGGGCCAGAGATAGATACATATAGACAGAGGGTTTCCACACTTGAGGAATCTTCATGGTCCTGTACATGCCATTAATTGCTCCCCCAACCTTCTCCAATGCAGCCTGCAACCCATGTATACATAAGCAACATTATATACATAATCTTTTACCGGGCTGGCTCAGCTCATTATCACTTTCAGGCAAGGCAGTTTTGGGTCATGAACAAGATAAGGTGAGGTAAAATACACATGTAATATTAATCAAAGTTTAAGTCTTCATGATACAGGCTTTGTTCTTTCAAACTGGTTCTGAGGTATCAATTTAAGGCCCGTCTACCCCCTGAAATAGGTGAAACCCCGAAACATTAAATATAAAAATGTATCGGGGAGTCACCCATACGGTACTCTACCATATTTCAATCTTTGGGCCCTGTTCGATTTTCAGTAAATCCGGGTAAGTTCATTTACTCATGTTCTTTTATTTCCTAGGTAAATAAGGTAATGACCATTTTATCCATAAAAATCCATTATTAAAAGGGGCATTTTTGTCCCGTTCAAATGTTAACAACTTTCCCCCTAGGTGGGAAAGTTATTTACCCACCTAAGAGATGGGCATCACTTACCCGTGTAAGTGATACCCAGAAAAATAAACTTTCCCTGGTCCCCACATAAATCTGAAAAATAAACATGGGATTCTTGGTCAATGGAAACCAAAATCCCATTGACCAACTTTCACCCCTTTCAAAATCCAGAAAAAAAACACCCCCTTGATAATAACTAATAAACAAAAAGTTTGAGGGTTAATTTGGGGTGTAAATCTTAAATGAAGGTTGGGTGATTTTTTATCTGCTACTTGTTAGGGGAGACTTGGTAATAGCTAGAATGGCCGAACTGTATGATTTGTTACTTTGTGTTTTAATTGATAAGTTATTAATTATCATGTTCTCAAATATTTAATTATTTTATTATTTTATTAATGACAAATAATAAGTCAYTCAGTTCATCCACTTCAACTGCCATAAACGGGTATTTTACTATTTTAATAGATAAAGGAATTAGGGACAGGAAGAAAATTGATCAAAAGATACAAGGATAGGCGACCCCACCCATCAATTATTGAGGAAAAATGATCTAATTCCAAATCATGTATCTATGAAGGAAGAATTCCAAATATTAATTAACCAAGTAATTAATCWTAGGGCAAAGATGAAGGAATTGAGAAAGGAAAACTGACCTTCTTCTCAGAACGCATACTACTCCTCAGCTCATATATCACAAATCCAAGCAGAACCAGCAGTGCCGATGGGATCGCTAAGAGCCCCAGAGACCCCTGCAACACAACTCACAGACACTCTTTTCAGGATTCAGAGAAAATAAAGAGATTGGATCAAATGAGTAAAGAGATAGTATGCAAAAAATTAAAATTAACTCTCACCTGTGCGCCCAACTGATGAACAAACATGCCACTAGTAGAGTAACCGATCAAGGCTCCCACTGAAGTGCAGAACCCACAAAGGCTCTGCAAATCCGGTGCCAAGGACGGCATCTCAATGCTGTTCCTCGCAATGCATGCATCAATAGTCACGTTGGCGATCGCCACACCCGCTGTGATTCCAATCAGACAAACCAACGCCACCAAAGCTGACAAATTTCCATGAAAAGAAATTGTTAAAGCTGAAACAACGCCCACAACTCCGGCCAGTATGAAGTATGGCCGGCGCCGATAACCTCTGACCGGGAAGACATCAGTGAGAAGACCCCAGATGGGTTTCATCACCCAAGGGATGTAATAGAGCCCAATATATAATTGGACTGCGGAAGGCTGGACCTTCTGAACATCCTTCCARTAATAATCTGACACAACTCTGAAGAATGACCAGGAGAAGCCTTGACTGAAGCCATACACCAAAAATACACCGAAGACGAAGCTTGTGTTTAGTTGCTTGCAGAGCATCCGGAGCCATAAAAATGGCTCTTGGATGATGGAGAGAAAACTCGGCCTTGGCCGTGTGTCTGGCACAAGATGTTGGATCTTTTCATCTTCATAAGCTAGGAATTGTTCTTCAGAGGAATCGGAGGGAAGACTTTCAACGAGAACTTGGGTCTCTGAGGAACCCATCTTCATCTGATTGAATTCAAGAGATGAGCAATAAAAATCGATGGAAGTCTGGATTGCAGTTGACTTGAAAATCTGGAGAAATGCTCCACAATTCAAAGGAAATGGCTTTCATTTTTCCATTTATAAATTCAGTTCCACCTTAATCGAGGAGGACAAAAAACAATTTATCCTAGGTTTTTGACAAGTTGAGATATTTAATACAAAGTGCAATTATTTATCTTGCTTATTAATATAGAAAAAATCAGAGAATTTTGAGCCAAAGAAGTGGCCAGGTCGGTTATTCCGGTTTGTCCATTGTTAACCCGATCTCTAACCCTTGCCTAAATCCGACCTTCAATTCGATATTTTTAATCCTAACCCACACAACCTTATTTTTTCTAGGAGTGCAAGTTAGATACCTGATTTAAAGAATTTATATGAATTCATTTAAATTTTAATAAAATCCCAATTCGAATCCTCCCAAATTGAACCTTAATTTTTTCGAAGTGTGTTGGGTTGGGCCAAGTTGGCTCAATCCAAGCTGCACATCTAATACACTGCCTGAGTCATCAAGTTCATATCAAATGATGGGTTAACCTAGATCAATTGGTTTTGTGACTGAACCTACCCGATCGACCAGCGCTGGTGGTTCCTGGTTTACCGGCCAGACCAGAAAATGCCGAACCGGTACCACATATCATACATATAACTTTTATTTCATAATAAGATGCAATTATTAGGAGAATGTCAACCTATTATTCCACGGGTCCCAAGGAGAAACTCTGACTTCTGAATGGCTGGAAGCCTGGAACCAGCGAATCAGGTCAATCATTTGACTAAAGGAAATTAGATATCCTAATTCCTCCTCCTTCAAGGGTTTCATGGACCTTAGCGCTCTCTCTCTCTCTCTCTGAAATTGCGCGTTGACAAAACGCGTCGGCTGTGCCACCAGCAGCAAGGTACTATGGTCCTACAAATACATAAAACTTTATCCATATGTGGTTCCCATTTGTTTACTGCAATGGTTTCCATTCTCTAATAATTGGGGTTGGGGTGGTAATAGCGGGACTTGATTCCGCATATAAGTTGGGAATTGAGATTATAGAGCTAACGTRTCAATTAATGTTTTAAAAATTGGATCAGATAACCATTTTGGCCATCGGTTTTTAGGTCATATGGTTCAATCATCCAGTTTGAACGGATGATCTGATTTAGTTTAAAAAATAATTAAAATTAAAAAGGCCAAAAACTGTTGTATGGATCAATGGGTCAACAGTTCAATTATGACCCAGCCGATTGTTGATTAAGTCAATAGGTTTTGATCTAAGAATGGTTTTAGGGTGAAATGAAACCTATTGTCTGAATGATTTTTGGGTCAACTAATCCGACCATTCGGTCCAGTCCAATTTTAAAAACCATGGTACCAACTGATCCGCCATTCGATTGGTTCAAGTAGACCAGATTCAGTCATTACAACATTTGTCTTCGCATTGTCCTCACATCAGTTACAACCATGCATTTAAAACATTTTCATATATATATATATATATATATATATATTCATGGGAATATGCTCCCAATGCAGGGTTGCAAGTGTTGTGTTAAAGGTATGAGGACAACTTTTGCAAGGACTGAATCTGGATTCTTGGAATTTAGGAAACTCAAGACATTGATAGGGAAACTAAGCTTTACAGCTTGTTTTCCAACATGAATCGCAAGGCTGTTAATGGTCTCTGAATCTGATTATCCTGAATTTGAATGTTAAATCTTGTATCAAATCACTAATCAAAACCGATGGAATTATTATTATTATTATTATAGTTAAAGATAATTATTTTTTAAACATTTTAACATAATAAAATTCAAATCAAATCCAAAATGCAGCATGATAATTGAATGCAAATATGGATCTAGGCTATGTTTGGTTTGAAGGAAAAGGCATAGGGAAAAGAAGGAAAAATTAGGAAAACCTATATAAGTTTTGTAAAAATTTTTCTATCTTCCTTTTCTTTTCCTTACTTTTTCCTTCAAATCAAACACAGCTTTTTTTTAGTAAAGTTTGATGATTAATCATGTAGATGCAGCTGATCCGATCGAATTACAGCCCCATTGAGTGATTCCACGTAAAAGCTGGAATCACTTGAAAATTTTTCTTAGTATGCTTTTGCTTTACCTTTCCGTTCAAAATTTGGGAATGATATAAAATATTCTTTGTTTTCTAAGGGTAACAAGTAGAAGCTTTCTCAAGTGGGGCCTGCATTCCTGGAAAACCACCCAAACATGGAAAACTAGAATGTTGGCTAGAAACCCATGAGCAGTGGTTGTCATGGATTGGAGGTTTCTACAGCTGATTTGATTGAAATCCCGTGGTCTAATGGAAACAACTCGAGATGCCATAATGTCAACAGACTTGCAAGGATGACAAAAGAAGCAGAAATTTTCGTTGACCTTCTAACATGGGCCATGTTCAGTTTTTCAGAAGTCCATAATCAAACTTTAGGGTATCCATCAAGGGGCCATCACCTAAGAGTTAAGGCTTATAAAGTCGTTTGGTTTTGTATTTTATGCTCAGTTTGGTAGGAGTATAAATGCAAAACTTTGTATTTTGTGTTATTTTGTATGTATGTGTATTGTATATATTTGTATTTATATTTTTTCCAAATTGAATATGATGAGGGTGGATTTAGCTCTTCAATGACATTATGATACCTGGTACCTCATGCCAATTAAGTGCAGTCTCTTGACAGCTAGACAGTTTGAACTCGCCTCAGGCAGCTCGCCACAGGTAGCTCGCCATCATGCAACACGCCATAGGCAGCTCGCCACCATGCAACACTCACAGGTAGCTCGCCACTAGGCAGCTCGCCATCATGCAACACTTCACAAGCGGCTTGCCTCCTAGTCAGATCGACCACCATGTGACAACCCCAAGGAGCTCACCACCGTACCCCGCATTTTACAGGATTGTGACTTGTAACGGCTATATTAGCTCACTCACTCCCCGAGTYAGGCGAAAATGGGCAACATTACCGGTTGGTGGCTTTATCCCCACCTAACACGAAAGCAAGTCCCGTCACAGTGGAAATCCAAGAACTGCTCCACCAAACCCGCGAGGACTCCAGTATATAAAGGCCCCACCCCCCCGAAGGCAAAAAGAATGGATGGTAACCCCTGCTCTTTAGCTCTCCCATTCTCTAATATCATTTTTAGCTCGCTACTAAGTGTTGACTTAACTGTAGGAGTGACCTCGCCGGGTAAGCACCCCAAGGTTCTCTGATTCAGTTCATGCAGGTCCCTCAGTTCTCGCCGTCTACAAAGATGAGCATATCATCGCCAACAGGGAGTAGCCAGTTCAGTTCCCATCGCTGCTAGTAGCCAGATCATCTCTAGTAGGGAGCAGCAGGGTTGCACTACGCTAGGGAGCTCCGCTTYGGCCCCTAAGTCATAGGCCACTTGGGAGCAGACGAGATGACAAGGTACTTAGCCAAAAAATTATACGTGACCAGAAAACGTTACATCAATTGGCGTCGTCTATGGGAACACGCTACAAAAAGCTAAGTTCTCGTCCTACAAAAGCTAAGTTCTTATCTTACAAAAAGCTGTCATCTTCTCCTAGAAAGCTAAGTCCTCACCTTTTTAGAAATTGAAGCTCTCGCTTCATAGCTCTAAGGCGCCCACCTGGCGTCCGGGTGCAGCCCGCGCGCGGCTTGGCAGCCTTGCACATGCGCTGACCTAGCACGACCTGGCACGGGCGCCGACCTGGCAGCCTGGCCCAGGCATGAACTGACGAACTGATAAAAGACTTCCTCATCGCTTAAGACTCATTCACCTCTTCGGCATGGGCAAAGTTTAGGAGTGGAATATGAGTCGCTCCCAAAGCCTAAGGGTTGTACTACTACACAAGACCCATTCGCCTCCTCGGCATGGGCAAAGTTCAGGAACGGACTATGAGTCACTCCCAAAGCCTAAGGGTTGTGCTAATGAATAAGACCCATTCACCTCTTCGGCATGGGCAAAGTTCAAGAGTGGACTATGAGTCGCTCCCAAAGCCTAAAGGTTGTACTACTGCACAAGACCCAGTCGCCTCGTCGGCATGGGCAAAGTTCAGGAGTGGACTACAAGTCGCTCCCAGACCTTAAGGGCTAAAATACCGACCTCACAGGCAGCCCAACACCTGATCAACCCAGCACCTCAAAAGCAGCTCGGCACCTGATCAGCCCAGCACCTCACAGGCAGCTCGGCACCTGATCAGCCCAACACCTCACAGGCAGCTTAGCACCTCACAGGCAGCTTGGTACCTGATCAGCCCAACACCTCACTAGCAGCTCGACACCTGATCAGCCCAACACCTCACAGGTAGCTCGGCACCTGATCAACTCAGCAGCTCACAGGCAGCTCGGCACCTGAGCAGCCCAGCACCTCATAGGCAGCTCGCACCTGATCAGCCCAGCACCTCACAGGCAGCTTGGCACCTGCTCAGCCCAGCACCTCGCAAGCAGTTTGATACCTCATAAGACCTAGTCGCCTCTTCGGCATGGGCAAAGTTCAGGAGTGGACTATGAGTCACTCCCCAAAGCCTAAAACTTATACTACCGCCTAAGACCTAACCGTCTCTTTGGCATGGGCAAAGTCTAGGAGTGGACTACGAGACGCTCCCAAAGCCTAAGGGCCACAATACTGCACAAGACCCAGCCGCCTTGTCAACACGAAAAAAGTAAAGGAGAGTGGACTACAAGTCGCTCCTAGAATCTATGGGCTAAAGTACCGAACTGGCAGAGAGCTCGGCACCTGGTCAACCCGGCACCTCATAGGCTGCTCGGCACTTCATAAGTCCCATTCGCCTCCTCGGCATGGGCAATTAAGACCCAGTCGCTTTTTCAGCATGGGCAAAGTTCATGAGTGGACTGCGAATCATTCCCAGAACCTAAGGAACTGAATCAGTGCTTACGAGCTTGTCGAATTACGGGCCAAAAGGAGAAATCTATTCCCTTAGTAATCCAAAACACCATTTTGATCCTTACCTGGCCCA